CCCCCCCCCCCCCCCCACACACACACAGTGATAGTTACATATATGCGGGTCCATGCAAGTTCGATTAAAAAAATAAAAGAGAAGTTACGCATATCGACGGTGAAAGTCGGCAATCACATAACTCGGTTTGCGACGTCGCAGACTTCCTGTCATACTTTATTTTTTAAATGGAAAACTACTCAACGGCAATTCTTTAAAACTGTCATGATTTTTCTTCTCAATGCGAAGAAAATTCTGCAAAAACTTCAAGAAATAATATCAATTTGTTCTCCTTTAAAAATATGACGTAGAGGCGGAGATTTTCAGACACCGCAAACGAGTTATGTGATTGCTGACTTTCACCGTCGATATATGCAGGTCCATGCAACTTAGATTAAAAAAATAAAAAGAGAAGTTACGCATATGTGATTCTATGCAACTTTGGTGAAGACCCTAAAAAAGAGATGTTACATGAAAAACATACATGAGTACATTTCATTGAGAAAAAAGAAAATATTAGTCTTAGCAGAGATTAGATATTAGGAGAACACTGTTTTTGCCAGCATAGATCAAATTATAGGTGAATATTAGCCATATGTTCATTTTTATTGGCCATAATCGGTTGCATGGAATGACATATATGTAACTCGTTATTTTCGACTCCAGAGTTAGTTGCATGAGATCACAAATGTGTTATTAGGTTTTAAATCAACATCCTTTTCCTCTGCGACAACAGTTTTTTTTTTTTTTACACTACTTCAAATAGCCCTCAAGGGCTAATCCCACGCTTTCAGACCCATCCCCCCTCCGTCCCTACTTAACCAGCCCCAGGCAACCATTGTTTGAGACCATCAAACTCAGGTCACCTGGCCGGGAATCGAACCCGGGACCTCCCGATCATAGAGCAAGCGCTACAACCACTACACCATAGGAGGCCGACTAAAGCCGTACAGTGAGTACAGTAGAGCCGACAGTGCCCTTGGGATGAAGCACAGTACAATTGTACAAATATCATCCACTGATTCCATGTTAGGAATGAAATATAAATTTACACTTGAATAGGTACTTCTTGTAGTTTTTGATGGACAGTTGAGTCAACGTTACAATTTGCAGGGTGGCTGGCATAATTTCATTTAATCATTCCCAGACTTCTTCAAAGGAAATTCCCAGACTTTTATACAATAACGAAAGGGTATTTACTTGATGAGGTCAAAGCATTGGGACAACAATGCAAACAGCTGGCCCGTTGCGGACCCGATTTAATGTAAAACCCGGCTCCACAAAAAATTCCCTGACCGTCGATGAAACTCCGTTTCTTTGACCAGATTTTTCCTCGTCGAGTTGCATTCCCTGACTTTTCCCGGTCGCTAGCAACCCTGAATTTGTTTTATCTTACTTTGCATGAGCTTTGGTTCTACTCACGGGAGTGATGGATTTTACTTTTGTATAAAACAACACAGTTGAGTGATTCTCTCATTCTCTTTTAATTCGTAACAATACTTGAAAAATGTAAAAAAATGAAAATAACATCACATAATTCACACACAATATACACACATAATAATTCACACATAATAATTTCATCACATATATTTCATATATTCATTTTTAATATTCTTCGGCTCCTTCACCTTCACCTTCGACTGAGTCCATGCCAACTTCCTCGTAGTCCTTCTCGAGGGCAGCTAAGTCCTCGCGAGCTTCTGAGAATTCTCCTTCTTCCATACCTTCTCCTACGTACCAGTGAACGAAGGCGCGTTTTGCATACATCAGGTCGAACTTGTGGTCAAGACGGGCCCAAGCTTCAGCAATGGCGGTGGTGTTGGACAACATGCACACGGCTCTCTGGACCTTGGCAAGATCTCCACCCGGAACAACGGTGGGTGGTTGGTAGTTGATACCAACCTGATAACAGAAAAAAGGTTGGATTAGAAACATATGATATGCAGATACTTAAAAAACATTAGAAACTTATCAACATGGTCATCTCTGTCAATTTGAGTAAATCAAGCCAATAAGTGTTCGCAAGCCCAAAAGTTGAAGTTTGAGGCACATAAGTGCTGTTGGCCCCTCTCCAATTTTGAGTCTAGTCCAAGGATCTTTCAGGGAACTTGTGAAAATGATAAACTAGTGCTGTTTGATGCCAACTTTTAATAACTTAAAGGCACTTTTTCAAAACCTACAGTTCTAAAAAATTATCATACAGTGTGATTTTGTGGTGAAATGTGCCCTCCTTAGATGGCCTGCATTCCTTCAATTTTGAATCTGATCCAAAGTTCATTAGGAACTTGAAGAAATGATACTTTAACCAGTGGGGCTTGATGCCTATTTTCAAAGAGTCGTAGGCATTTGTTCAAAATTTAAAGTTATACCAAAACAGCTCATGGTGTGAATTTTGGTATTTTCCTCATAATCTTGCTTTACCCCTCGCTTCCGCCCACCTCCCAAATTTTGCCATTTGCAAAAATCACTTGACAAGCATCAAGGGACCATAGATCTCATAGATATCTAGACCATTGATATCTTACAAACAGCAAAGTCGCTCAAATTATGGAGAGAAAGCTAAATTGAAAATTTGAGAAAGGCAATGATGTAGAAGTAATCTGAAACTACATTATTGGAATAGAATAAAAATTGGAAAAAATAAAAATGAGAGACCATAAAGCCTCGACATACCTTGAACCCAGTGGGACACCAGTCGACGAATTGGATGGTTCTCTTGGTTTTGATGGTTGCGATAGCAGCATTGACGTCTTTGGGCACAACATCTCCTCGGTACAGCATACAACAGGCCATGTATTTACCGTGACGGGGGTCACACTTGACCATTTGGTTGGCAGGCTCAAAACAGGCATTGGTGATCTCAGCAACAGACAGCTGTTCATGGTAAGCCTTTTCAGCAGAAATAACAGGGGCGTAGGTGACCAGAGGGAAGTGGATACGTGGGTATGGGACCAGGTTAGTCTGGAACTCAGTCAAGTCAACGTTAAGGGCACCATCGAATCTGAGAGAAGCTGTAATAGAGGAGACGATTTGACCAATGAGCCTGTTGAGGTTGGTGTATGTGGGGCGCTCAATGTCTAAGTTACGGCGGCAGATGTCGTAGATAGCTTCGTTGTCGACCATAAAGGCGCAGTCGGAGTGTTCCAGGGTGGTGTGAGTGGTTAAGATGGAATTGTAGGGTTCAACAACAGCAGTAGATACCTGGGGGGGAAAAAAAATTGTCAGAATCAAAAATTGGAGAGAAATCAACTGTTGAATACAATCTGATCTACCTGTGAATAGACAGATCCTAGGCTGCAATAAATCCATCTGACTGAAGGTAATAAAATGTAACTAATTTAAGCAATTGATCGTCTCACTGCTTACATTGCCTCAGAGGAAATCCATTAATTTCACAGAGCTGATGTTGTTAATACAGAACTGCAAAGTAATGATGAATCTCATGTTTTCCAGTGCATTTAATAGGCTGAAAGATTGAGTTTAAATGGCAAAAAATCTAAAGAAGACTCTGGTCTTTCAAAACACTATCCCAGGATTTTTCTAATTTATCACTATCATACTGAAATAACCAGATGACAAAACACCTTTGCTGAACTGTAATCATTATTAGTGTTCCTGAAAAGAAATGAAATGTCGATAATTGAGTTTAATGACAGTCCCTATGTTTTTTTTTCATCAGGGTAGCGACAGAATTTAGGTAATGAATTCCCCAGACACATTTTGGTAATATTCCATGCTGATTTAGGATATGCCAGATGGTTAAAAAGACATAATTTTATGTAGTTTTCAGGCAAATATGTTGTTCAAAATGCCAAACTCATTCTAGAAAGCGATTGAATGTGATATCGCAATTTTTACCACAGTTTCGTCACTTTCCAAGACTTTTTAAAATTCCCTGACATTTCCTGGAATTCTTTGATTGTGGCAACCCTGTTTTATGTTACAATGCTTGCAAAATCAAAGTGAATTCTAGATTCGCTTTTGAGCAATGTGCAATGAGAAGTTTGATGTCTGACACAAACCTGAGGTGCAGGGTAAATGGCGAATTCCAATTTACTCTTCTTGCCATAGTCAACTGAGAGACGTTCCATGAGCAGGGAGGTGAAACCAGATCCGGTACCACCACCGAAGGAGTGGAAGATAAGGAA